TCAAATCTAGCAGAAATAAAACATAAATGAAAACCCACTTTGATGCATTATAGTGTCTTGCTGTTCGAGGCAGCACTAGTACTTTTGATTAGTACGCCGTTTCCTTAACCGTTCTCGAAATGGAACTAAATTGAATTGAGCATCAAGGCATGCATCAACATCAACGTAAACAAAAGTATATAATGTATGCAAACATACCACGGAATTTAAAGCCAATTTTCTATAAATTACCAGAATACATATCAGCCTACGTGTTCCAAAAAACCGGTCAGGTACGAGTCGAACTCGTGCGCCGAGGTTTTCGTACCTACCCAGATTTTACGTAGATTTTCGCGAAAAATTGTAAGTACCAAAATTTATCTTAATTTTCAACTATTTTTATTTTTCGGTATTATTCCCTTAAGACGTTTCCTTTAAGCTGTAAGACGTTTCTTTTTGCCAAACTTCGTGATTCTAGGTCAACGGGAACTACTAACCAACCGACCCAAAACCTATAGGGTACTTCCGGTTGACCTAAAATTGACAATTTTAGTTAAAAGCAAGGTCTTACAGCACAAGTAAGGAGAAAATTCTGAAAAAAAAAGCCTTGTGGTGTCGAGGGACACCTGATAGGAACGAAGTTGTGACGATCGAGTAAAACTGATTCGACACGATTATAATTACAACGCCATCTATAAAAGCGGCTATTGCCTACATATTTTTCAGTTGGTTTCTAATTAAAACAATTTATACATTGGTAAAATCTCCTTGAGAAATGATTTCCTATCTATTCGATAGATGGCGCTGAATGACTGACAAGTGACAATTCAAAATAAATACTGAGATGAAAAGTAATGATTTCCTATCTATTCGATAGATGGCGCTGAATGACTGACATAAAAAGTGTCGTTACAACTTTTCGTGAGATTTTTTCCGTCTAGCCCCCTTTCACAACGCGCGATAAGGAACTTCGTTCCAATAAAAAAGTTGAAAATCAAGGTAAATTTTGGTACAAGTTTCCGGGAAAATCGAAATTTGCCCATATCTTTTAATCGTGTTGACTCAGGACCTTGATTTTTATACACCTAATAGGGACCATAAACCTCAGTACCTGGTATAAATTTCAACTTGCTAGGTCTACCCGTTCCTGAGAAAATCGGTAGTGACACACGGACAGACGGACAAGAAAGTGATCTTATAAGGGTTCCTTTTTTACCTTTTGAGGTACGGAACCCTGATAAAAAAAACTTTGCATACGTCATGATGAAATTGAGTAAAAAAATAAAAACTGAAAAAAAACGAAAATAATTTATTCTGATTAAATACAAGCATTTACGAAGCTTACTAAACGCTTCTTAAGTGTAGTTCTAAGGGGCTTATGAAATAGTGTAGAGTTTTTGAGTTTAATGATGTTAGTTATTAAATAAGATTTTTTTCCCCTTTTGAAATGAGTAAATTAATTAATTTCATTTTTTTATTAAATGCTGCAGGAACCGGGACTGAAACTTTAGCAGGTCGTAGAGGAACGTGTCGCAAACCCGTATGTCCGTCCCCTGATTGGGGACGCCACCATGATAGTGACAACAAAATTGTAGATCGAGCGGTTAGTGATACTGACTGGTACGCCAGTAATTTATAAGTATTTTATTGTTATTATACTTATTATTGTAAAAATAAAGAATTGTAGACATAAATCTTTATAGCAGCTGCAAATTATCTTTTGTTTCCTTTTTGTATTTATATAAAATCAAGTTTTCTAACATTTGTTGTGTTTGTCAAACAAGTTTGATAAAGCAAATAAACAGGGTGGAAATGGCATTCTCTTTTATCTTCAAGAATGATTGTGACACACAATATAAGAAACAAGATAGCATGTGACTAGTAAGGTAATCGTAATTGATGGACCGACAACTCAAGACTCGACACGTCTCTGCCTCGTCACGTACGCACCATTGCCCTTCAAACCTCAATTTTACAAACATCCTCGTCTATTCAGAAATAAAGAAAATTGGATTTACAAAGATAAAAGCGAAGAGATTTGAATAGTACCACTTATTTAAGTTCATAATTTCGCCAATACATTTCATTGCAAAAGCATACTGGCAATGATGTTTTGGTAATAAACCAGAATAATGTGAATTTCTAGCGCGTAAACACTATAGTATAGAATTTATAAAAATTTAATTTGAATTTATAAAACGATATTTATTGAGGTGTTAAATGATAATGTAATCTAATGATGGAGCCAGGAGATAAATAGTCGAACTCTTCAAAGACTACTAGTAAACCTCCTCGAACTTGGACTCATGTAATTCAAGTTTTGACATCACTTGTTTTGACGAGTACAAAAGATTGGTCTTTATAAATTACGATACTCTGATGATAAAGTTAAAGAGTTAAATATAATAATTACTTTTAAGTATTTTCTTTTAGTTCCTTTTTCTAGTTTAACTCAACTTAATTTTATAGGCTTTTTTCAGGCTGAACTAGACGGAGTACCTGAGTGCTAACATAATAGTTAATTATAATGATTAATGTCTAAGTATCTAGCAAATACTGTCAGTATTACGGTGTATTACGTGTGTGTGAAATGTGTGAGGTATATTAAAACAAAAAATATTACAAATATTTTTAGATAAAGAGTTCATTAACACTTTGTCTGGTTTACAATAATGATGATTGGGAAAATAAGGATGACGACATTCAGGACCATTCATTTGATTACGTATCATTTTTATTTTTAGTGCTATTAATTACTTTTTATCGTGAACAGTATAGTTTGTGCTCTATCACACAAACAACTAAAAGATGTTTTAGATGCGATGTCCATCTGACTACCATGCTATCTGTCACATGCTATCTTGTTTTAATCTCTAATGATGAAAAACCGGTCAGTTACGAGTCGAACTCGTGCGCCGAGGGTTCCGTACCTACCCAGATTTTACGTAGATTTTCGCGAAATTTTGTAAGTACCAAAATTTACCTTAATTTTCAACTTTTTTCATTTTTTGAAATTATTCCTTTATTTGTGCTGTAAGACGTTTCTTTTTGCCAAATTTTGTGAATCTAGGTCAACGGGAACTACCATACAGGTTTTCGACCCAAAACCTATGGGGTACTTCCGGTTGACCTAGAATTGTCAATTTTAGTTAAAAACAATTTCTTTCAGCACAAGTAAAGAGAAAATTCTGAAAAATAAAAAAGTTGAAAATTAAGGTAAATTTTGGTGCCCACCTAATAAGGACCATAGACCTCAGTATCTGGTATAAATTTCAACTTGCTAGGTCTAACCGTTCCTGAGAAAATCGGTGGTGACAGACGGACAGACAGACGGACTAGAAAGTGATCTTATAAGCGTTCCTTTTTTACCTTTTGAGGTACGGAACCCCTGTTTTTTTTTTTCTATTATAATAATAATATAATAATAATATACCTCACATATTTCACACACGGCTGTCTGATCCCAAACTAGGCAGAGCCTGTGCTATGGTGACCAGACTGCTGATAAACTTACTTATATATTTTTAAATACATACATATTATTATAGATAAATTACACCCAGACACAGAACAAATGATCATGCTCATCACACAATATTTGTCGTGGGTGGGAATCGAACCCACGACCACCGGCTTAGCAGTCAGGGGCACTAACCACTCGACCAACAGGCCCGTCAAGTATTCCTGTGATGCATATTTATTGCTATCGAAAAATAATGAATTAGCATCGAATTTCGACGTCTGGAAAAGTTCAGGTGGTCGAACGTCTCAAGTCTGAAGGTCAAGAACTTTTTCTCAGTAAATCAAATGGCTCGAGTAAAAACTATGAACTAAAAAGCGAAGAGTGCGACGTCCCCTTTACTAAATACGGTTCCGTGAGGCTTTGTAGTGGCCACAGCTTCAGAGAGGCACTGGATGAAGAGAAAACAAGATAGGTCTTTAGAAGAGACCTATGTCTACCATAAACATTGCATACGTGATATGGTGATGAGATTTATACAAACTTTTCGTAAAACTAATAAAATACACACATTTGAGTAGGAGGCTTCCGGCGACTGGGACCGCAATGAACTCGGATCTGAGCTACCGGATTCATTAAATTTTTTAATTTTTTTTTCCGGCCACTGGGACCACTGGGAGGAATGGAGGAAAAAATCTATTGCTCAAGATAAAAACATAGGGGCAGATAGTAAAATTTAAAAAATGGAACTAATCATGCCCATCATGGGTCTCATTAGTCTAGGTAGTTGGTCCACGGTAACAGTTTAATACGTCAGCTTACACGCGTCTTTGATGCGTCAAAAACATTATGTATTGCTTAGTTATATAGCTATTTGTTAATAAGTTAAAGATGGCGATCACCTACTTTTAAAACCTTATTGTTGTTAAAAGAACAACTATCATGTAATGAATTTACTATACAACTATCTATCGAAAAACGATTATATTTATGATCAAAGACTCGTCTGAGAGAAACCATACATTGTTGTCTATCGAGTGGGTAAGCACTTAGTGGCATAAATTAAATTGGTATGAATCATTTCTGTACTGACAAATATAGGAAAAACAATCATACTGTGTATGACTGACCAAGCGGCCGTTTATTCAGTGATAAGTAACTTTTTTTCAGAATTAAGAAACTGTTTTAAGAAATCGTCTATTTTACAATTAATGTAGCAAACAAGACCTGAACCATATATGTTTTATCATTTGAAAAGTCATCCGTGACAGAACACTCGATTTACGAAGGTATTTTCATCCTCAGAGCTTATGCACATAATTACGAGTATAAGTCTGTATATAACTCGATGCATAAACGCCGGACCGGTCGCCTACATGCGTATAACATAACTTTATATTTCTGCTACCGGAGAACCGTATCGGCTTCCTGTAGAATATAGGTAATTCTTAGCCTTTCCTAACTCATAGACTTAATAAACCAATAACCAAATACCCAAAAAACGTGATAGCATATATTTTCGTAACATATAATTTATGAATATATAAATCTTTCTACTTACATTAACTAAACTGACTCCTAAACAAACCATCCACGCCCAACCTCCGTCGGGTGCGACCTTTTTGGTCGCCGGAGGCGGTTGCTTCTGCTCTAGGCCTTTACTCTTCTCCACAGTCATTTTCAGCCTTTGTCACCTTGTCTGAAACGAAGAAAACATATATTTGTCCTGTTATGCAACTGAAAAATTATATTAGTGCACACACACAGGTAGGTATTTTATATAGTCATCATCATCATGATCTTTCAACCCTTTTTCTAATTTTATTTAAGGTTGCCTCAATTTGTTTTATTGCCAAAGATTTTGGCTGGTTTCTTTTATGGTCTGCCTCATACCTAATGCCAATCTTCCAAGGGATGGTAATCGTTTTTAAATGGGATAAGGGCAGAATGTAAATTGGGATAAGGGATACGGGACTGAGGCCGAGTACACGTATGCTCGTAATCTGAGAGTACACTCAAGACATGGACACTGACTTGGCCATTAAGTATATTATCTATACAAATAAATAAAATTAAAGTGTCTGTTTGTAATATCACAATAATAGGTGTTTTTCATGCTTACACGGTTATTTACAAGATCCTTGTGCCTAAAAACCTGTTTAAACATTTTTTGTCTGTCTGTCTGTTTGTTCCGGTTAATCTTCTAAACGGCTTGATCGGTTTTGATAATATTTTACTACCAGGAAGCTGTCTATATAAGGAGTAACTTATGCTATTTTTTCTCTCAGAAAAACCCTATAAAAATTCCCAGTCCGGGCATCTAGCTAGTAAGAATTAATATTAGTAAAGACAAAACAATTCAGTAGTCTGTTCTTTCTTCGTGTACTTCTTTTTTAAACTCTATTGATCAAAAAATAAAGAAATAGTTTTTTTATTCCTGCGATGCATATTTATTGCTATCGAAAAATAATCCACGCGGACGAAGTCGCGGGCACCAGTTAGTTATATAATTTAATTTCCACCATCCACATGAGGTAAACACGATGAAAAATCATTGCTGATACATAATATGACATAAATTTGTTTATGTGTAATCTACTATCGGTAAATCTAGTCCAGTCTAAACAAAATAACGAGTAGATATATCTACAAAGGTATCTACAGATATTTGCGTTGTAAACTATATTATACTAATATATATTATAATATCAATATCTACACAATCATATAGGTTCAATGAAACGCTTATATCACAATCAATCGCAGTAATGTATAGACACAATGAGCCACACGACGAGTTATCAACTCAGCGATAGCGTGTGTTTTGATTTAAGCCAAACTGCCAGCCAGTAGGTACGCGCTAAAAGAAAATCTGCAGAATACATGCTTGGGCATATAAAATATGGAATTAGGAGACTGCCACGTTAGTAGCACGTGCCAGACGACCCACACATACACCTCGTGTCATTTGCTACACGCTGACAGCATGCAGCGATATCAGAAACAAAACTTATACATTTAACAAGTGTGCCGATCATTGTTTACTTTAATTTCATAAGTATTCAACTGATTGCTATTGTTGGCATGAAAATATACGGAGTCGGCTTTCCATACTACACTTTATTTAACACTAAGCTGACTATTCATATTGATATCGTTAGAGTTATTATAGGATAAGCTTGAATTAATTTATACGTAACATGACTTATCATAGAACATAAAGATGAATGAATGAATTAACTTTCAAGATCATGACTCAATTTATAACCTCACACTTTAAAGTGACCTCGTAAGCACAGAATGCTAAAATGCTAACAGTAGTGACCATGACGAATGTTCATTGGTATAAAGTCACCAAAACGGATACTAATATTATATTGTGAAACTGTACAAAAGACCCAAAATGCTTTTAGCCATTTTCATATTACGTAAATAATATACCGGTAATATTATTATGTAATAATAATCAAAACTCTTAGCTAAAAACTAATCGTTGCCTTAGAAGAGGTCATTAATTAGAACCTGAGAATCAAAATAGTAAATAGGTCACGATCTCTTCCTGTGGGCATGTCATATTTTGAAAACTAGATCACTTAGGGAATAAATTTATCGAAAGCTTTTAACGTACATTATATATTTTTTTTCAAACATTTATTAATTTAATAAAAAAATATTTCGATTGGCTATGAAGCTATGAGTATATTCAGCCAGTTTTAGCAGCTTAGGTTAGCTTTACATATTTCTTGCAGTATATTTATACAAATATTTAGTGGAATATAATTAGAAGATAGAAACTTGATTTGCATAAAGTAACAGAACTTTATTTTAAAATTAACCTAACTGATTTTTTTTCTGACTGCAAATGTAAGTTTATGATTGAAAAAAAAAATGAGACGACAGAAATTCTTGGATTGTAGCAAATGGTAATATTCAATGTAATTGTATATTAAGTACCCTATAAACTGTATTAACTTACTAGTAGGAAAGTTTTTGATATAGCGAATGATTTGAGACTCATAACAAATATCTGTGACGCATCAAGCGAACTTATGCAAATGCTAGAGCGAAGCACCATTGTTCTCATGGTACCTACTCCTTAAAACGCGTTTGCACGTACATACATATTTAACAATTTACAATATACTATTGATATTACTATGAATGCGCAATTGATAAGAGTTTTTAAGTTACCCATCGATAAGGTACTTCTTTTTTTCAGTCTCATTATGTCTAATCCTACTGTCTATGTCTAGTGAAGTTACTCAGTACATCAGACATCAAACTAAAGCATAATATAATCAGACCTTGAACATCAGCAGTAAAACGTGATATATGAATATTAATCGGTTTTCTCAAATAATTCATGTTATGAAAGAATATAAAACCGGTGTTTAAATTTAGATAAAAACTTATTTTAATAATGTATCAATCGGACCATGAAGCATCTCAAGATAGGGGTAATACAAACTTAAGATAACTAAGTAATTAGGTATGTGATGAAATTCGATCACGGTCAAGTTTATATTTAGAAAAATATGTTCTCGAATAGTTATCATTTGAAGGACTGCCCTTTTACTTGTCTATACAAATAAATAAAATTGGAGTGTCTGTTTGTAATATTAAAATAACCGCTTTTTACTAAATGCATATGTATGTTTACACGGTACATATGCCAAAATAACATTTTTTACAATATTTTGTCTGTCTGTCTGTCTTTTTTTTCTGTTCCGGGTAATCTCTGGAACGGCTGGACCGATTTCGACGGGACTTTCACTGGCAGATAGCTGATGACATAAGGAGTAACTTAGGCTACTTTTTTAGACTAGCTTCGCCCCGCGACGTTGCAGGCGGTTATAACAACAAACGCGGGTAACACCGCGGGTCTCAGCTAGTTAAATATAAAAATATCCCAGAAACTGTAAACAATAAGAAGGAAAATATAAAAGCAAATTAATTTATATGTGGTAGTTTTAACACATGTTACATAGTACATGCGTACTAAAAAAGTTTATTCATTCGTTATTGAAATCAGGAACATAAAGTTTTACTATGGTTGCCAATGTTCCGCCCACAGCTATTTAATTCTCGTATGCTAAACCAAAATATAATCTATCAATGTCAGTCTTGACATAATTAAATTATAGTTGGCCTGGACGCAAATCTGATTAGTTATTTTAACAATTTTAGTCAAAGATGGCCAGTTTAGAAATGCTGAATACTCCAGGAACACTTTTTGTAAAAAGTAAATGACCGTTTTACAATATGAGTTTCACATAGCTGCACAGTATTCACTCTGTCGGTAACATCTATCAATTCTGAGAAGAATAGTGTAATTAGTACAACATTTATCACTTTATAATGAGCGGTGACTCAACAAATGACACTATAATCAATAAATACAACAATAACAGTCGTAATAAAGAAGAAATATCATTAGTCATTCAAGAATAAGGAATATCTGCTCTGTTAATAATAAAGGGATAGACGAATTCATGTTTTCGAGGAATTGAGGTCAATATTAGCATGATCCAATAAACATCTTGACAAATTATTTAGATGAGACGAAAGAAGATATTAGAAATAGTCTCGTTCATAACTAATAAATGGGTACCTATATATCATTAATTCGGCTGTAAGAAATTTAACGAATCACACGCAAGTTAATAGAAGAAATCCCATAATAGAGGCATATCCGGCTGGATACCCGATTCATCTCTACTATTAACGGGATATTAAATTTAGGTGTCTTATTTTAAGCAACAAAAATATTTATAGAAGCCAGTGAGACGCGAAGCTTCCTCATTTAAAAAAACATTAAACTAAAACTATAAAACGTATAACTGTAGTTTTTTATTTCATTTTTTTTTAGTTTTTGAGAATGATATCTTACAGCCTTCGCGTAGGTCAATACATTGGGAAGCGTCGATGTTTGCAATACCAGTACCAGCCATCGTCTTAGCTCATCCTACAGAAGACTGGTACATACCAAGGGTTGAAGACAGTGACATAAAAATATAATTATAAGCTTCAGAAATGCTATTTACATATCACGAAACAAGTTGCCCCAGTAAGACTGTTTATTTTTCTTAGTAAACCTTTGGAATAAGAAGACAGTGAAATTATGAATATAAATAATTTTGTAGCCAGTATAAAAAAATATATATAGTTAGTTCACAAATGATAATAATTGCAATCTGAGGTCAGCAACTCACAATGTCAAGATTAACCACTTTTATTAGTACGTAACTAACCATTGCCTTACAGACTGCTAAAAGGCTTAGAACTTCCATTTAAGTGGAGTGTTGATCTTAAGCCTTGAACTGAGTTCAAATGTATATACATAAAAAACTTCTTACAGATTATAAGGAGCAAAAAAGCGCCCACGTACTAAAAGGTTAACTCAGGATGTGAAAATAAAAAAAAACAGCGAGTTATGTTACATATGTACGTATCTACTAATAAGTATATTTAATTCGGGTATACTAAATTTAGTGTTGTATTTTTGAGCGTTTAATTTTTTGCACTAACACTGCACGCATGCGTGTTCATCCGTATTAATAATGATTGCTAGCTTTGTCCGACTGTGTTAAT